GCTGTAAAATTCTTATCAATGCCATAAGTGTAGCTACCAGTTTGGCCACCAATTTTGATTTAACTCCTTCAAGTAGCACTCTCAATCCTTTTTGGGCTGCACCTTTTTTTCACACCTACGGTGTTTTTGATTAGATATGACTTTTTGTCAATACACCCCAACAAACCACAGTAAGTAAGAAAGTTACACTTGATAGTAACCCACATTAGCTTTAAGATCACAGCCATATTATTTGGAACAGATCTTTTCTTTACAGAGCCAACCAGATTCTTTAAAATATATGGGGGTAGTTTTCCTCTCTTAAACAGTGTTAATAATTTCCTTTATAGTAACGCCATGGAAAATAGATTAAAAGTTTCATGTCATCACCTGCATGCACTTGGTACAGCTGTATCAAGCATAAATACTTTTTGATTAGAAGAATTTCATAAAATTTAGTAAATTTGTGTTGAAAAGTTGGCAATGAATAATCAGTAATAACTATCCACCCATATGATTCTTTTGAAAACTTGAACTAGAAGCTGCTAATCTAGTTCGCTTGGCTTAACAAATACTTATGTATCTGCACATCCTTTCACCTTATAGTTTTGCTGCTCTAAGTCAGCCATCTTTAAGCTGAATGACAAAAAACTAAAAATGTTCACTTTTAGTCTTAGGTGAAGCTGTAATAAAACTGTTACACCAATAGATCATGTGATTTTTTACATAGGCATGCACAAATATTTTTGTCAAATCTGAATGGTTTTTGTTGAATAACTTTCCACATGTGGCTTATATTTACACCAATTGAGACTCGTAATTGTAGGTTGAAAAGATCTATCAGTGTACCAATTTTGAAAAAAATCCTTAAGTTAAGTATGTTTTCCTATCAAATAAAGTTCCATACTTTTGGTGCAAAGAAAAGAGAAGAAACTCAATCAGAATTGGAGATGTTATATCTTTGGTATTTCTTAATTGATTGCCTTGAAGTTTAGTATGTGAAGTAAGAGTCCAGTAGAGCACATCCACTGAAAATATGTGAGTTTGGTTTACCACAGTCCAAGCTACAGAAGGTGGAAAATTGCTAAACTATCACTCCTGTTAATAATGCAAATTGTGTCCTGCAGCAGGTTGTTTTGGCTATGCTACACTCTACTGTGTGTCTTGATTCATACAGCTACATTGTTGTTCTTTCATCAGTTGACAGGAAGGTACTTGTTCTTGAGGTCTTTGCTCTCTCATTCTAGAGCTCCTGTTTTGGTCTTATGACTACTATATCTGTTTGTTGTCTTGAATGTCTCAGAAATTTAACTTAGTGGTGTATTGGCTGTCATGCCCAGATCGACTCCTTCCAACAATGTGGTCTTTACATTTTCTGATATTTCAGTAGATTTTTTTCTACTTTGGAAGTACTCTTATTGATATAGTTGTAACTATACTCAACACCAAGCTTCCAATATTTTGTTGCCAGTCTTAGGCTCTGAGGCCCAAACAGTGGCTCACCTGACACTAGATTAGTCTAACCTCTTTCTGTATGCTAAGGGCTGAGCACAGCCCTATGGCTAGTATGCTGGACTGTGGATCCAGGGTTCTGTGATGCATGCCCTGCTACTATAATAAAAAAAACTAGGCTTTGCACTTTGGGACTGTGTGAGCATTATAACAGTGATGGTCAAATCCAACTATTTGATTAGAGTAGCCCACAAGTTGTGGGAGGGTTGGGTTGAGTAACTGCCTTCTCTCTAGTCAGTCATTTCAAGATGAGGGATGACTAGTGAAGATATTCCTTTTGAAGCTTTGAACAAAGTTCAAGAAAAATAACTGTGTGCTTATCCTTCTCTTTGACTTTTTTCCAGGATGCTGTCTCTAATTTGCAACAATGCTAGCTGGATTCTTCTCATTGCCTTCCATTGGCCAGTGCAGTTTTGGTTTCCACTCCTTTGCCTTTTGGCAATTCTATTTCTTTCCATCTTGAAAATCCCTGTCATGTCAGCCTTGAATGGTCAACTTATACCATGGTATGCCAAGCCTTTATTTTCATGTATGGTTTTTGTTCAATCTCATGCAAAATGGGCAGGTTTTTCTTGAAGGATAGCCTGTATTCTTGCTCACTCTTGTTGATCATCCACTAATATGATTTATCAATGCAAATGAATGTTTTTCAACACTGGTTCTTCTTTCCACCAGATCATCCAACTCTTACTCATCTCCCTTTTTTTACCAGATTTTTTAAGATAAATTTAACCATTTCTGTGATCAGTGGATACAGATTGTTTTTGTTAACAACCTTACTTTCTGTGATTCTTTTTGGCTTTTCTAATTAGAGGTACTCATCCAATCTCTTTCATGGATTGGAACCTCTCTTTAGTGGTCAGGGCTCTTACAAGTCCTCTATTCAAATCTTTGGCCATCTATTTCGCATATAATCATTCTTTTAATATGTATTTCTTCTCCTTGCTTGTATAAGAATTAGCTTTGGTATTTTTGCCTTCAACACTTCAACATTTTTATTTCATTTCAGGCCTTTTCTTTCTTCTCCAGACTTAGGTTGCAGGAGAAAGTGATATAATGTTTTCTTCAATCACACTTCTTTCTATTTCTTTATACAATTGTTCTGACCCCAGGCCTTTTCTTTTTCTGGTGTGGGCTGTATGATGTTACTTTGAAGTAATCTTTTCCTGCCTTGGGATCCCTCTACTTCTAGAGTTTTATATCCTCCACCTTGACTAGATAGGTCAAGCAATTCATCCAGCTTATCTACTCCACAGGGGAAGATGATACGTTCTGTCTTTTTAATGTCACCTTCCTTCAAGTTTATCATCTCATGTCTTCTCTTGCTTCTGGTCATAGATATTCCATGTGCAAAATACTGATAGTAGAGATGTTTACGAACCCAGAAACATTGCTTACATCACATTGCAGTCTCAGCAGCCTCTGGGTTTCCTTTTTTTCCAGTTTTCATCCTTACTCTGTAATTTTTCCAGACTTTGTAGGTGAGTTGTTAATAAAAAATAATGAAGGAGATGCGGGAATCTATTGACTGGCTAATGTTGCTTCACAGGGAATACTTCTGTATTCCCAAATCCATATTGATAGTGACTACTGTTGAGATGGGTTTTTTGCAAGATTTCTTTGGTGGTATATATATATATGTAGCTATCTTCCAACAACAGACTAACAACAACAAAAAAGGATGGCTATATACCCACTCCTCCGGATGACAGCTACTGTTCCTATTTGTGGCAGCCCATTATACAGTCTTTCAGTGAGGAACCTTATGCAGATGAAATGATTCCTGTTTGGTTTGCATACCTTTCTGTTATTCATCCGTACTTAAAATCCTCCCTCTTAATTTTTTCTTGTGGAGTGGAGGAAAATCCTTGCTTCTCCAGTACCAAGCTGCTCAGGAGATCGATATGGAGAGTTTCTCTTTGGGTCAGTGTAACCCCAGTGATATCCCCATGGACAAAGCTCTCGATCAGAAGTAGGGTAGTGGTGTCAACATGGAAGAATGAAATAGGTCACCTCATCTCTTGGTACCAGATTATTCCTGGTGGTTGTAACCAGCCAGATGGGTCTTGAGTTCTCCTTGGAAAGCAGGTCTGGGATGACTCATGCCTGAACCTGCATATTCTCTTGTACTGTAAGGATTGAACTGTCTTGGCAACATTTAACTTGCCAACCCTCTTGAAGAAACAAAACAGAATATTCTTATGATAGAATTTTTCTGAACAACCTCTTATGTTGGATGAAGAGTATTCTCTACTTGAGATAGATATTCCTTCCCCTAATGGAAAATACACTCTATAAGTTTGCCCTTTTTGCTACTATAATATCAGAAAGGAGCTCATCATTTTAACTCCTTCATACCTATCCCTTCACAATCTTCTCAATATTGGATTCTAGCTACTTGTTATGTGCAGGGTTCAGTAATATAGTCTGAAGTGTAGCATTTTTCTTACTTGAAAATGTATTTCAGATTAAACCACCTATCGTACCTCCTCACTTCAGGTATGTCCATTTGCCCTATCACAAATGAGCTTTTGGTTTATACAAAGTTTTCAAGGGGAGATTATGTGTCACCCTTCTATGGTGGAGGGTAAAAGTCAAATTCTGATGGCAACATGGACTAATGAATGTATTGTTTATAGGGATAAGAGCTCCTTCTAAGGCTTGTTCAAGCTAAAAACGTTTCAGTATCAGTAGCAAAGCACTAGCCATTTGTTTTTTATTGGGGTGAATATCTATCTGAAGTGCATTTTCAGATAAGGAAAATGTTAACTTTCATGCTCTGTGCATGCATAGTTGATGATGTGCTTTAGTGTTAAACAAGTATTAAATGAAACAGACTAATAATATCATATTTGATTTTTTCTGTTTTTTATTAATAATTTTCTGTAGGCTGCAGAATCTTCACTAGTTGTTACATTTGCTTTTGCATGTTTCAGTAACTGAAACTTAAAAACACCTGTTGATTTATGTATGGGTATTGTTAGTAAATACTACATGATTGTATTGGCAGGATAGTGCGTTTTTATATTTAGTTTTAACTGTAAATGTTTTCACCTGTTGTTTTTAGCATTATATTAAACAAGAAAAGTTTTACTTATGTAAAAAAAAGAATTATAACTTATCATTTGATTTAGAAGTCCAAATAGTAATAAAGTGTTTGTGTAAAATATTCACTCTGTTTTATATTTGAACTATTATTTTTAACTATTTTTGAATACTTTCTTATTGGTTAGTAAGGAGAGTTCATTCAAAGAAAAAGACGTACAAATTATAGATGAAGAACAACCATATGATGTTCAGGAAGCTATTATACCAGCAAGTGTATCTAAGGGTACAAGACGACAGAAGAAGGTATAGTTATTAGTTGCCTTATTGAATCTTAATGTTAAAACTTTATATTTTGTTACATTGTATTTTTTTTTTCAATATTTCTTGAAATATATTTTTGACAAACATAACATTTATTAGGTCTTTTTTTATGGGTGAGTTTGAAGTTAAAACATCATTAACTTTCTGAATTATAAACTCACCTTCATTTTAAACTACTAAATTCTGGGCATATATTGATATTGGTGTGAGTTTTATTCTGTAGATTTCTTTGCAGGAAGACATTACGAAACAAATTTTACAGGATACACTTTTATGTTTCATCTTAAACTTGGAGTATGTTATTTCAACTAATCTTAGTTTTTCCAGTGTAAATTAACAAAAATTATTTTTTTTCAGCCTGGTAGGATATCTCATTTTATAAGCTGAAACTTTCTCTTGCCTTGAATGTTCAAGTTTTTTTTTATAATACTAAAAAAAACACCTCCCATTTAAATAAGTAGCTTCATGTGTAAATTAACTTTTTATTTCATTCATGACCAATTTAATGAATGTTTTTTAAAGTGATAAATGTGATTTTCTGGTTTTGATTGCATTTATCTATGGAAGTCAATACACTTTATCCCTCATTATCTCAGTTGTTTTCTCCTTTTATGACTTCTAACAACTACAGTCAAATACAAAATATATTTGATCAATTCAGTGTTATTCAAAATTACAACAAGGTTATAGAAGGTTTCTGCTACATAGTTGACTTAATTTAGCACCTAATATCATGACAAATACTGATCATCTTCAGCTTCACTTGTTACTACAATGTTCTTAGCTATGATACTGATGGTACATTTTGTGCAACCATATACAAGCTCTAGGGTCTTTTAGAAGTATACTTTTTACTATGTGAATAGACAATCACTTAGTGCTGAAGCCCACATATCCCTCTTCACATCAAGGACATGTTAATTTATTGATGAAAAATGACTAATCTTAGGATGAATGTATGAAATAAAATATATTTTGTATACTTACAACAGATTTAAACATACTTGTTTTATGTCTGTGGATAAGCTCTGCTCAAGATGATTTGACCATAAAAATATTACGCCACTCACCTGTTGTGCAGCATGGAAATGCAGTATTCCTAATGTGTTTTGAGTAATTGTGTGATATCTTTCTATTTGTTGATTGATGACTTTGATTTCATTTGTATGTTAAATCAATATAACCTGTTGATTTATCAGGCATATTAAATTATAAAACTTTGGGGGTTGACAATTGATTCATCATTCTACCAATGCCATTGTCAGTAAAACAATCGTTAAACTCATTACATTAAAAAAATGTTTTAATACAAATTTCTTCAAAGAATAGAGTCACTGCTAACTATTGGGTAAACACACTTCATAACAACTTCTACTAAATTAACTTTAAATGATCTAGGAACAAAACTTTAAAATTGAATATAAAGATCCAAGGAAGTTGAGTTATGATTGCACCAATTTTAAAGTTATTTTGCTGAGTATGAACTAAAGTAGCCTAGAATCATATTCATATTCAAGTGTTAAGCTATATTTGGGTGTTTACAGTTTAAATATTGCAGGTATTCACCAACATGACTTTGTAACCGAAAAAAGAATATAAGCATGTCATTTGTAACAAAGTGTTTTAAAATCAAGAGAATAATTTTTCCAATCATAGTTTTTCTTTTAAATGAATAAACATTTTGATTCTATGCTGATAGCTTCTACTAGATTTCAAATGAAGAACTCAAATTTTAAGTATTTAAAATCTATAATTAAAAAAATATATATTATCATTTTCTTAGACTAAATTAAATATAAAGACAGCATGATACAGGATTTTGTTTGTTAAAATCATTTAAAATTTATTCTTGCTGTGAAGAAAGAAGTATTTTCTCACGAAGGACCAGTCGTTAAAAGTTTATTTAGTTTAAAATGCATATCTGCAGCCAATTAAAATAGGTAGAGAATTTCTTTGAGAAAACACAATTGCTCATTAGCCAATTTAGGAAGAAGACAGTGGTTTTGTAATTGAATATCACACAGTCTGATGCAATCTTACAACTCTACTACAACATCACCTTTTGGAAATTTCCATCCATCCAGCTTTTAATTGATGTATTATAATTATTTGCAAACTTCCAACAAATCTGGTAGCTTTTTGGTTAACTTGTAGAAAAAAGAAAATCAGTATCTGCTACTTTTCATCAGAGAAATTACCTATGTTTTTGATTTTAATAAAATCTTTAAAATAATCTTTATGAAAAATTTTTAAAACATAAGTCTTGATGTTATAGTCTAATCTAATATATATTTTTTTAAATTTAGAATTTTGTATCTGTCTGTAAGTGCAACTGTTCACTTAGTATCAAAGATAATTTTCTCTTGATATTTAGCCTTGTTACTTTTATTACTTTGTCGTACTTGCTTGACATTAAACCCTTACATTGTTATTCACTTAAAGTGTATTTTTGACATTAGTTGCTCTTATTAAAAAAATAAATCAATATCTAAAATAGAGTGGACTTTAAGCAAACATTCGTTAAGAACAATTTAACAGAAGCTAGTCTGTTGTTGAGCAGAAAATGTATGCAAGGTTTACCCATGGTTGTTTCAATAAAAATATATCAGGAGAAATGAACTATACTGGAAATTATAAAAAATAAATAAAAATTTGTTTTGGGATAAAGCTTTAAATATTGGTTTTTTCTAAATTGCTATTAATATTTATTTTATTTAGTTAGTGTTTTTAAGAAAAGATGCTAGCCATTTCATGGCAAACAAAAGTGTTGAGAACAATTGCAGTTGTAAAGGTTAACAAATAAAGCTGTAAGTAAAAGCACATTTACTGAATATTTTAGGTCCAATAATTTGGGAATCATTATTGTAGAGTTGCAATATGTCAGTAATTTAATATTGACAGATTAATAATTATTAATTTTCTCCTCATTTAGATATCAAATGAAAATCAAATTTGCAAAAAACAGACAAGGTTTTCTATGGGGTAAGTAAGAGCAGTGTAGTACAAGTTGCATCATTATTTCAGTTAATGAAATAGTTTTAGAACATGAGCGCTTTTGAAAGGTGGAACTTTTTAAAAGCCCTTGGGTTATAGGGTTTTTATTCATTTCTGCCAAGACTTCTTGAACCTACGTGTTTTTCTAAAATCATGAATAATTTTGTAACAGTAAAAGAAGCATCAAATATTTTTCAGATATGGTATATGAAACGCTGAAAAGGAATATAAATCTCATTATACTGTGATGATAGAAGACAAATGTTTTTTACATACAGTAACAAAAAGCAATACTTTTTAGGCTTTATGTAATAACCTTCCAGCTGTAAGTCTACCCTTGGTAACATTGCACTGTCAAGTATTTGGGGAATTTGCTGTGAACAAGATATATAAGTGTTAAACACATCAGCTGTGGCACCATGCTGCTGTATTACTACATAAAAAAGTGTCCAAATAATGTGACTAATCCTACTTATATAACATTGAATAGTGAAAGGTTCATAAAATATTTTAATTTATTCTTCAGGAAGATATTTTGAACTTGTAATCCCTTTTTATGTTATTCAATAAACATAGTCTGAGTTAATTTTTTTCAGAATTGAATGTTTGAGACATGTTTCTCAAGTTTTATGTTGTTATGTTTTAGTGGCCCACCTCAAGATGACATGAAGACAAGACAGTTTGATAATATGCAAAACTTAGCTGAGGGTAGCCAGATATCTCAAGAAATGCCATCAGAATTTCCTGAACCATATTTTTCAAGTACATGGTCATCTTCATTTACTTACTCAAAGATACTCCCAAAAACCAAATTGAAAATGAGCTCAGAAGTATATTCTAATGAAGAAAACCACACAAATAGGGTGTATGAAGGGAGTTATACATCTAACAGGAATAGTCATTGGTTTGCAGACAAGTCAAGATATGATTTTCCATATTCTAAAAAGAGAAAACAGCTCTCTAACATTAAAGAGCCTGGACATTACAATTACAACAGCAAACATAAATGGTCTCGAGAGGATCAGTATAATGATAACTTTGAGACTGGACAAAGTAGTCATTATTATTCAGCTGTTGAAAATGTATTTAATGATAGATATTTTAATCAGTATTCTACAAACCAAGAATTTCAAAGTGCTCATAATTATTTTACTGATTGTAACATTAATGAAGCAGAACAAAATCTGGAAGGTTTATATTCTCAAAAAAGAAAGATAGAGAGAGATTTATCAAATTTAGATAGCCAAACTAAACCAGAAGTTCGTACGGGAAGATTTCATGACAGACCATATCTAGTCACAAGTGAAAAACATGAAAATATAAAATCCAATAATTTGTACAAAGGGAAAAAAATTCAGAAAGCCTTCTCTTCTACAAAAAAAGACTATAGAACAGATTTATCTGAAAAAGATACTACTGTGCGTTGTGCCTCATTGAAGGAAAGAAATAAGAGTAATCACAAAAACAGACGTTACGCAAGCTTCAGTCAAACAACACATGGTGTAAACAGCAAAGCTAGGTATAGTACTGAACCAAAAGATAATGAAAAACAAAATGGTGTAAGTACAAGTAATTCATCCTGTCACAAAAAGAATGTGAACCGTGCATCTTCTCATGATAAAAAATCAAGGAATGAGAGGATGTGCACTAATATCAGTGTGACCATGAACACAACTTTGGATAGTAAGTCGAAGCATTTAGGAAAAAAATCACTCTGTGTAAAATCTAAATCTGCAAATGCTGATTTTGGAGAGGCATCACTATTAAATGTTGAAGAAACAATATCTGCAGTAGACAAGACAGATAATACCTCATCTTCAAGAAGTTGTACAGAAGCTATAAAATCTCTAAATTCTAAAACAGTACAATCTTCCAGACAACTGGACACTGAAGGAGCTATTTTTGAAGAAAAACCACTTTATAGCTGTGAGCGGATAAATAATAATACTGATATTTCTGTAAACAGTGATAAAATACAAAATGAATCTGTTGGTTCAGAGATGTTTTCAAAGGTTAATAAAGAAAGGTCTAGAGATAAAATGCAGATAATGACTTCCAAGTTAGAAAGTCAACATAAAGTAATGACTGAAGATTCACATCAGTTTACAACCTCATCTAATGAGTTAGATTCTCAATCTTTGTCTTCATCAGTTGGAAGTCAAAAGCTTGCAAAGCTCACAGAAGTATTGGAAAAATCAAAACATGAGATTAGTGCATACAACAAAGAACTTTTGAGTCGCCTAGTGAACTTCCCCCGCACAAGAAAAGAACAAAACCAGCTAAAAAAATGGATTCATGACTATACTCAGTCATCTAAGAAATTGACTCTTCCCAGGTTCAATCTAAGAATGGGTCATAGCACTTCAAAGGAATGTTCTCCTTCAACAAATGACATTGACCCAAAGTTAAACAGTCTTGTGACAGAAGTAGAACTAAGTGAACTTTCCATTGATGTTCTCAGTAGTATAGCACATATGTTAGAGGATGATAGTGAAACAGAGATATTTTCATTAACAGACTGGGATTCTTCTCATAGAACTACGTGTTCTAATTTATCAGTTACAGAGAAAAAAATAACTGAGAGGAGCAAACAGTCATCAGTGTTAGAAATGAAGTCTCATGATTCATGTCCACAGTTTGAATTGTGTTCAGTTAATATGGGTTTAGAAAGTGGTTCTGTACCACAAGACATTTTCTTAAAGCCTCATCCATTAAAAAAGAATAAACCAGACAATGACTCTCAACAAACTTCTAGTAAACAATTTCAGGTAAGAGGAACATTTTTTTGAAGTTCAAAATTTTTAAAAAGAAAGATTACTGGATAAAATTTTATTTTAAAAAATTCTTAAAAGTGGATAATTGTAAAACAATTTTTTCTGTAAACTATATAACTTTTAGTAAATATTAGATCCTACGTACTTGTAGCTTTTTTAATCAATTTGTTTTTTACATATTGCATACTCAAATCAGAACTAGGTATACATATATAATTTTATAAGTTTAGCTTTACTAGTCCAAGAGCTAAGTGCTAAGTACGGTTTTAATCTTGTGTTTGAGGCCAAAGGTTTTGAAGGTACTTTCAGACTCAGAATTATATGCAGACTTCAAAAACTGATTTCTTATTTTAAAAGTTCTCTAAACACCAAAAGTTGGTAAAGTAAGGGAAACTTTAGATGTAAAAATTATTATAAACATTAAATTAACTTCAGATGTATTTTCTTTTTCTACATTTCTCTTAACTTGATTGTTGTAGCTCAAAATCATAGGTTTGGAAAAATAGAATTTCAGATCTATCCTGTCTTCCACAAGTTGATGCCCAAAAAGCTTTCCACTTACCATTAGTTCCCTCACATTAAATTTGGGTCAAAATGAAACCTGTTTATTATAAAAATGACTCCTCAAAAATGATAGATATTGACTGGTTCTGGTTTATCACCATCTGATAAAATATTATATACCTTACAGAGTAAAATTAAGCAATAATCAAGTGTTTTATTTCACTTTTTTTCGGATGAAATTGGTCGTCATAAATTGGGAATGTAACAACTATGTAAGGTCTTTTATGAGTAAAGCACAATGTTCTTTGTTTATTTCAAATAACTTTGGTAGTCTATTCAAAATATATTTCTTACATTAAAGTTAATTTTTAAAAAAACATTAGCCCCTCTTCCATTCAATTTTGACAGAGTATGTTATTTGTTTGGAGCATGTTATTTATAGTTACATTTATCTTGTTAATTTTGTGGACAAACTTTTAAGATCTTATTGACTAATACATTTGTTGAATACTCTACAAATTAAGCTAAAGATAACTTAAAAATACTATTAATAGAAAAATATGTTTTGGAGTTTGACTTGCACTTCAGCTACACTTTTATCTCTAATTAGACTTGGCAAGTCTTGATAATCATTCCTTAGTTGGTGAATGACTGATTTTAGGTGCAGTGTAGATTCAGTTACATGTTCTTTAGGAAGATTTTTTATATTAATAAGGATGTTCAATAACATCTATGTCCATTCCAGTTCTATGCACTAACTATCTTCCTATGTTTTTTAATGATGTTGGCATACTCAAATGTACCCTTAAAATACTTCATACTTACTTCTAGAAGAAATGAAATACATGTTGTGCTGAACAAGGTTTTTTAAGCAGTAATATTATTCTCTGTAGAAATAATAACTTCTCAACAACATCTTTAATAGAAATGTTTCACGTTGTAGATAGTGCATTTTTAGTCTGAACCAGTAAAATGTTTGTTAGCTTTTTTTTTTCTTTTTTGCATATGCATTGTATATGTTAACTCTTTCAGCACGGGCTCGGTCCGTGGGACTGACCTCATAACCATTATATGCTTGTTATAGTTTTCATGCTATAACTTTTAAATTAGTAAACAAATGTTAATGAAATTTGGCAGAGTATCAGTAAACATTACAGTGCTTTCATACGGAAAATATAAACATTTTTAAATTAAGTCTTAAGGTTTGTTAAACAATGTTTTTCTCATGCCTTTGTTTTCTTTTTACATGTTGCCTATCCAACATGCAAAGTACATTTTAAGACTAAAAATACTTTTATGCATCACAAAATTTTCAAATTTCACATGCAAAATCTTTATAATGTCCAGATAGTTATCAAACATTTCTTAAGAAAAAACTTTTTATTTCATTTGTTATTTTCACTAACAAATCTCTGTATAGGTTTGGTAGATTTGACCGATCTCATAACCACCATAAAAATTAGGAAATAAATATAAATTATGCCTCTTTCATTCTAGAATGACAACAGATTAT